TCACCCTGAAACCCACAGCGTCCCTTTTCAGCAGGAAGTAGCTAAGAGAATACGCCATCCCCTTTTCCTTATGAATCAGGGTGAAGTCTCTCTCAGGGAGAAGTGATAGGGAATGGCAAAGGACATACTGACAAAAGAGATTAATCAGAACTGGTTTTGACAAGCACTGTGGCAATGGGACAATTAAAACAGACTTTCAAGGGGAAGAAAAAAGAGAGGAACGAACTGGGGAGGATAGAGAAAATAGTGCAACAATGAATGAATGGAAATCCAAAATCTCTATAAATGTTCGTTAAAATGAATAAAACAAAATTTAAAAAAATAAAAACAAAAAAAAAACAACAATGGCAGCTTTAGTGTGCCAGGCAAGGGCAGAGAAACTCCATTCGCAGGAGGCCACGTCCACACTGCCCTGGAACAGGCGAGGGAAGGACTCTCTGAAAGGAACGGGAGACCAGACATCATGTGGAGGGTGACGAACCAAGACGTGCATCGCCAAGTGAACGGAGGGAGAGGGTTGGGGGAAACATGGACCAGCGAGTGAAAACCCAGCTTTTCACACTGTCACAGAGTCACAATGAGAAGGAGAAGCAAGCGAAGGGTGCATGAGATCTCGTTCCACCCGGGCACCACCTGGACTCGTGCTGCTGCAGAAGGAGACGGGCCAGCAGCTGCCCAGGGAGGGTTCGCAGAGCCTGGCTTGGTGTCCGCAGACATGGCTCCATGGGAGACGCTGTGACCTTCTCTCAGGAGGGGCCCTGCCATCATCTTCCGCAGAAGGCTGTGTTCATCCTGCAGGTCTTCCCGCCGGGGACCCTCCCACCCCCACACCAGACAGCATTCTCCTGGGACCCACGGGCCATCACTGGCCGGATTTCAGTTGACCACTAGGATTGTCTTTCTTCCCTGCTTTCATCTAGAAGCTTCTCTGAAACCTGTCCACTGTTGGCTGAGAGAAATACCAGCCACATTCCTCTGGTATCACAGCAACAAACAGGGACAGACACACGGACAGACAGGTGGTGCTTCAGGTTAGTGTTACTGTTGTTGGTACCACTGAGGCTGGGCTGACCACCGCTGACCCTCTGGCGAGCTCTCACAGGCAGGAAATGGCATGGAGGGAATCGGGTTTGCCCGTCTGTCCCACGTAGCAGCTGGAGGATTTGAACTGCATACCTTTGTGTTGGCAGCACAATTCCGCCCCACTAAACCATGAGACATATGAGCAAGAGCCTATGGTGACGAAAGAAGAAGTTTAAGCTGCTTTGAAGGAAATAGCAAAAAATAAGGCTCCAGGAATAGATGGTTTACCAATTGACATATTTCAGCTAACAGATACTGCCCTGGATGTGCTCATCAAGTTGTGCCAAGAAATCTGGAGGACAACCACTTGGCCAACTGACTGGAAGAGATCTATATTTGTTCCCATTACAAAGAAAGGTGACCCAACTGAGTGTGGAAACTATAGAACAATCTCACTGATTTCACATGCAAGCAAGAGTCTACTGAAGATTATCCAAAAACGACTGGAACAGCACATCAGCAGAGAATTGCCAGAAGTCCAGGCTGGGATTAGAAGGGGTCGTAGTACTAGGGATACTGTAGCTGATGCTAGATGGATCTTAGCTGAAAGCAGAGAATACCAGAAGAATGTCTATCTGTGTTTCATTGATTACGCAAAGGCATCTGACTGCGTGGATTATAACAAACTGTCTGAGAAAGGAAATCCCAGAACATTTAATCGTGCTAATGTGAAACCTATACTTAGACGAAAAGAAAGTAGTCAGAACAGAGCAGGGTAACACTGCATGGTTCAAAATTGGGAAGGGTGTACGCCAGGGATGTGTCCTGTCTCCATACCTTTTCAACCTGTATGAAGAGCAGATCATCAGGGAGGCTGGGCTCTATGAGGAGACGTATGGCATTAAGATTGGTGGAAGATCTATTAACAATCTGCGTTATGCAGATAACACAACCCTGCTTGCTGAAACTGAGGAGGACCTCATTCACTTGCTGCAGAGGGTCAAGGACTGCAGCCTTCAGTATGGACTGAGGCTCAATGTCAAGAAGACAAAGATTCTCACCACTGGACCAACTGGCAGCATCAGGATGGATGGTGAAGAGATGGAGATTGTTCACAGCTTCAGTTTGCTCGGCTCCACAGTCAACACTCTTGGCACCAGCAGTCAGGAAATCAAAAGACATATTGCAATGGGGAAGTCTGCTATTAGGGACCTCTCTATAGTATTCAAGAGCAACGGTGTCTCTCTGGAGACTAAGGTGTGTCTGATACAGGCCATGGTTTTTGCAATCACTTGTTATGCATCAGAGAGTTGGACAATGACTAGGGAGGACAGAAGGAGAATTGATGCCTTTGAGCTGTGGTGCTGGAGAAGAGTATTGAATGTACCATGGACTGCCAGGAAAACAAACAGATTCATCCGAGAGAGGGTTAAACCAGGCTGCTCCTTGGAGGCAAGGATTCTGGGGCTTCGTCTGACATACTTTGGGCATGTTGTAAGGAGGGACTGGTCCTTGGAAAGGGACATCATGCTTGGTAGGGTGGAGGGACAGCACAGGAGGGGAAGACCCTCTATGAGATGGACTGATTCAGTGACTGGGGTAATCGGGATGGGTGTGTCACAGGCAATGCGACTGGCACAGGATAGAGCAGGGTTTAGGGCTGTTGTACATAGGGTCGCTATGAGTCGCAAACGACTCAGTAGCACATAACAACAACAAGAAGAAGAAGTCATGAGAGCTGCATTTCCCGCTGGTCGGCAAGCCTTACATCAGAGTTCTCTCTCCCACGGCCTGGGGCACTTAGCACGTCTTGGTCTTGACACAATTTCCTGAGCAACGTGGAAGAGAATTTTCTTCAGGTCAAAGTTCTCAATGTGGCTCTCAGGATTTGTGAACGTGTCTTTATTTCTATAAAAGTAGGAAATCAAATCGGTGACTTTCTCAGCTCGCCAAATCGCTGAAGCCAGGCAACGGGGATTTGCACCAAGCCTGCCATGCAGGGCCTGCTGGACAGGACCCCGGCCCACACCCTCCACAGGCTGTGTGACCATCGCTGACACCAGCGGGGCTTTTTGGTCATTTTTCTGCTATGACAAGCAACCCCAAACTCTTGACATCCCCTCAGAGACTCCCCTTATCCCGTCGTCACTGTATCTGCTACTTCGACAGGACCCCACATCAGAAGAGCTCAGGGAGAGACTGACACTCCCTGCAAAGAACGGACTCATCCTGAAGAAAACGAGAGAATAATCCTGAGGTTGGAAAGCAGCATCTCTGTCACTCTCTGTGAGCCCTTTAAACACGGCCACTAGCCTCCCTCGTACCCAGCGGCCTGCGTGGACATTACAGGCATGTGGCTCCGGGGCCCTGTGGTTAACCAGCGGCCAGAGCTCAATGCCAGCCCTGGAAAGGGGGAAGTCGGGCCGCAAGGTGGCCTGAAACCCGTGGAGGCGGCCTGCGCTGCCAGGCCTGATGTTCCCAGGTGCTGGTTCACCTGACGGCACCTGGTGTACTCTGAGTGGCATCAGTGAGGTTCAAGTGCACGGACGTTGTCTCCCGTCCATTCCTGCACCGTGTCAGTCTCTCCCGTCTGCTCACGCATCCGTCACTAAGGGAACGCACTAAGCATGTGACTCTGGAATAAATGAATGAATGAATGAATGAATGAATGAATGAAGATGTCCCAAGGTCTTGACTGCAGGCATGGACTTCAGAAGCTCATCCCAGATCCAGGAATGCTGGGAGGGAAGGAGGGCGAGAAGATGGTACGGACAGGCACACGAAGCTAGGCTGGGGATTCTCGTGGAAAATAATGACAAGAGCAGGGTGTGAGGGGTCAAGGAAGACCCCCACTGCACGCTACGCCCCCAAACCAGCGAAGCTCCCCCGTACACCTACAGCCAGGTACGGCCCCCATCGCCGCCTCAACTCTGCCTGCTCATCTGGGCCTCTGCCCACCGTGGCCAACCATCACCTCCTCAACTCTGCTCGCTAGTGTGCGCCTCTGCCCCCGCTTAAGAAATTCAGAAAAGGAAAGGAAGGGTCCAAAGCTGCAGAATCACCACGTAAGTAAGGCCAAGTCCACAAAGGACTGAGGCCTGCTGACCTTCGAACCATGCCACCCCCGGCCAGGCGAGGCGTCACAGGGGCCTTTTCCAAGCACGTGTGCCTCTTCTGCACGTCAGCGATGGTGCCTGTGGGAGTGTGTTCCTGCTGTTTCACGTGCACGTCCGGGGTGCCCCTGCTCTGCGCGAGTCTTCGGGGACCTTTCCCCACACCACAGGCTCACTTCCTGCCTCTGTGTGAAGTCTTGGCTGTTTTCACTTTATTCCGGATGTTTTACTATAGCGTGCCTGCACACACCTGTCTACAAGAGTAGGCGCCTGACTGCCAGACGTGCTGGGAAGGGGAGCAGTTTGTGAGATCCGCCCGCCATATCCGTGACGTCTGCTTGTCACTGCGGAAGGCCGTGCAGGTCCTCACCCCATATCAGGGTGCTTCCTGTCTCAAGAGTTCATAGGGACCTATCATCCCATCTCGGGACGTTTCCCATCTCAGGGCATCATAGGGACCTGTCACCTCATTTTCACTCTGTTCCCCATCTCAGGACGTCACAGGCACCTAAAGACTAAGGCTTAGACATGACACAGACAGTGGCATTTTCATAAGCTGGAGAAAAGGTCATAAACGCAATGGAGAAGTTATGGTGTGATGTGTGTTGTTATATATCGAGGAGAATCGACCTATAGCTGATTCCCAGCGGGTTTTCAGAGGCGATTAATCACGTGAGAGGAGATCACCCATCTTTTTCCTGCCGAGCAACTGGAGGATTCAAACCGTGCACCTCTGGGTTGCCAGCACAGCTCACTAGGCCGCCAGGGGTGTTTGCTGACACCTGAAGAATATCTTATTCCTCTGCTGGGGGAATTGTCTCTTGTGCAGCAAAAAGAATAGGGAACACACATGTAAAACACATTTCTCACAAAGCTGGAACACAGAGAAAATCCCTAGATTCCAAAGTAAGAGTGCTGCTGGCCGCCACTGAGTCTGTCTCAACTCCCAGAGACCCCAGGACAGAGAAGAACGTCCACTGGCCACCACCTTGATGCGAGCAGATTGCCAAGCCTGCTCTTCTGTGGAGTCACTGGGTAGGTTTGAACTGTCAGCATTTCGGTTAGCACATAAGTCACCCAAAGTCAACAGAGTGCAGTGTGAGGAATCTGTTCAGACCCTGACAGGGAACACTCAGAGACGAGGCACCAATGGCCCCCCAACATGCGCACTGGCCCCAGAGGCCAGGGTGAAGGCCACATCCTGGCGGGGTGGGGGGTGGGGGAAAGCCAAGCCCCTGGTCAGTAAGGAGAGGGGGTCCAGTGCCCTGGTTCATTCAGGTGGCTGGGCCTGGAGCAGGGCCTTGGATCTTGGACAGATGTATTTGTAGCAAAAGTCATCTCTGGCCATGGAGGATCTCGGCACTGGCTACTGAGACACACGGGCACCTGAATGACTCACTGCCGCCCCTGACTGCCACCATCAGTATTCAGCAAGTGAGGGGCAGAGGTGCTTCCACACAGAACATAGCCCTTCACGGGGAGACCTGGGCTCTGTTCTGTCTGGCCTGTTGGCTGCTGGGATGCTCAGCTGTTATCAGCAGAGCTTCTAAACGAGAGCTGACCAGGAAGTCTGGCCAGGGGTCTACTTCTAGGAAGCCTGAGACCTGGCAGCAAACTCTGGTGGTGTAATCCACAGCGGGGTATGCTGCCTCGTCAAAGGCTGTGAGTCACTGGAGGTGAGAATCCCCCAGCAGCAAGGGAGGAAGACGGGTAGTCTCTTCCCATTACAGCTCACAGCCTAGGAAACCCCAGAAAGAGTCGCTGCAAGTCCCAACTAATCCCGGGATGAGAGATGCCTGGAGTTCTAATCCCATTTGGGATTGGATGGGTTTTGTCATGTTCATGAGGCAGGGTGGATGTTGGATGTGTAGTTATGTGCCCTTGAGTTGCTTGTGACTCATAGCGACCCTGTGTACAACAGTCCTAAACCCTGCTCAGTCCTAAACCCTGCTCTGTCCTGCGCCAGTCTCACTGTCTCCGACACACCCACCCTGATTACTCCAGTCACAAAATTAATCCATCTCATAGAGGGTCTTCCCCTCTTGTGCTGTCCCTCCACTTTCCTTGGAGAAGGACCGGTCCCTCCTTACAACATGTCCAAAGTATGTCAGATGACTCCTCAGAATCCTTGCCTCCAAGGAGCAGCCCCGTTGAACCCTCTCCAGGGTGAATCTGTTTGTTTTCCTAGCAGTCCATGGTACCCTCAATACTCATCTGCAGCACCACAGCTCAAAGGTATCAATTCTCCTTTTCTCCTCCCTAGTCACTGTCCAACTCTCTGATGCATAAGAAGAGACAGCAAAGACCATGGCCTGTATCAGGCGCACCTTAGTGTCCAGAGAGACACCATTGCTCTTGAGTACTTTGTAGAGGTCCCTAACAGCAGACTTTCCCATCGCAATTGTGTCTTTTAATTTCCTGGCTACTGGTACCAAGAGTGTTGACTGTGGAGCCAAGTAAACTAAAGCTGTGAACAATCTCACTCTCTTTACCATCCATCCTTATGAGGTGTCCCTTGTAGAATGTCTTATAAAACAGACACAAGCAGACAAAAAAGCAGAGTAAGCAAACCCAGAGAGGGGAAGTGAGATGCTACACTCACATGGAACTCTCCAAGGAGCCAGGAAACAGAGGCTTAGAGATAAGGAACTTTCTGCACAGCCGAAGACACAGAAAGCTTCCTCCCAGAGACAGCACCTCAACTCAGATTACTACTCTCCTAGAGGCTGCAGTCTGAATAGAGCAGGGAATTAGTGCCCGGCTTAAAATCAGGAAAGGGGTGCATCAGGGCTGCATGCCTCCTCCATTCCTATTCAAGGAAATAATTTAAGAATCTGGACTCTATGAAGAGGAATGTGGCATCTAGATCAGAGGAAGACTCATCAGTAACCTGTGCTGTGCAGATGACACAACCCGGCTTTCAGAACACGAGAGGAACTTCAAATGCTTGTTGAGAAGATCAAAGAAATGGATTACATCTCAACACCAAGAAGACAAAAATCCTCACCTCTGGACCAACAGGTAATATCACGAGAGACGGAGAGAAGACTGAGATTGCCAACTTTTCATCTTGTTTGGTTCCACAATCAACACCCTTGGTATTGTCAGCTACGAAATCAGAACTGGGAAAGTCTGCTGTCAAGGACTTCTCCAAAGTGCTAAGGAGCAATGATGTCAGCTTAAAGACTAAGGGGCAGCTGACCCAAGGCATGATGTTTCAACACTTGATGTTGTTGTTATGTGCCATCGAGTCTCCTGCGACTCATAGCGACCCTATGCACAACAGCCCTAAACTCCACTCTGTCCTGTGCCAATCGCACTGTCTCTGACACTCCCATCCCGATTATCCCAGTCACCGAATCAACCACCTCATAGAGGGCCTTCCTCTCCTGCGCTGTCCCTCCACCCTCCCAAGCATGATGTCCCTCTCTAAGGACCGCTCTCTCCTCACAACATGTCCAAAGTATGTTAGACGGAGCCTCAGAATCCTTGCCTCCAAGGAGCCACCTGGTTTAACCCTTTCCAGGACAAATCTGTTTTCCTAGCAGTCCATGGTATTCTCAATACTCTTCTCCAGCACCACAGCTCAAAGGCATCAATTCTCCTTCTATCCTCCTTGGTCATTGTCCAACTCTCTGATGCATAACAAGTGATTGGGAAGACCAAAGCCTGTATCAGACGCACCTTAGTCTCCAGAGAGACACCATTGCTCTTCAGTACTTTGGAGAGGTCCCTAACAGCAGACTTTCCCATGGCAATGCGCCTTGTAATTTCCTGGCTGCTGGTTCCAAGACTGTTGACTATGGAGCCAAGCAAACTAAAGCTGTGTACAATCTCAATCTCTTCACTATCCATCCTGATGCTGCCAATTGGTCCAGTGGTGAGAATCTTTGTCTTCTTGACATTGAGCCTCAATCCATATTGTATGCTGCAGTCCTTGACCCTCTGCAGCAGAAAAATTGCAACACTTGATACGCATCTAAAATTTGGACAATGAATAAGAATCAATGCCTTTGAATTGTGATGTTGGAAAGAAATACTGAATATCCCATGGACTGTCAAAAGAACAAACAAATCTGTCTTGGAGAAAGTGCAAGCTGCATGCTCCTTCAAGGCAAGGATGGTGGACTCTGTTTCACATACTTGGACGTGTTGCTTCAAGGAGCTATTCCTCGGAGAGGGGTGTCATGCTTGGACAGGTGGAGGGACAGTGAAGGAGAGGAAGCTCTCAACATGAGGGAGTGGCACGGTGACTGTGACAATGGGGTCAAGTGCATCAGAAAAGATGAAGACGGCACAGGATAGAGCAGACCTCAGATCCATGTTCACGGGGTCGCTGTGAGCCACGGCCAGCTCAATGACACAACAGCCACAAACGAAGAGTAACAAACTCATGATAAAGTCATAAAAAGCTCGGCCACCTGATGACCACGTGCGGCAGTTCCACACAACGTCACTGGGCCACTGAGTGTCAGAACCTGCCCGGCGTCAGGGACCCCTACGAGAGCCACAGGAGGCTTCAGAGGAAAATTTATAACCTTCAATGCACATAAAACAGGGAGTTCGGACTAAAATGTGTATAAACAAGTCCAAGGAAAACCGAAAGAATAAATAAAGGGGAAAATGGCCCATAAAGCCAGAAAAATCAATAAAAATAATAACTATACTCCAAACTGCCTATTTAGATAAATAGAACTTAATAAACTGTTTTTTTAGAGTCTAAATTCTTTTTTAGAGCCTCCAAAAAACTCATCTGGGGTGGGGGCAAAGATGCTGAAGCTTCGTGCCACATACTTTGCGCTTGTTGCTAGGAGGGGCTGTTCCTTAGAGAGGGACACGATGCTTGGAAAGGCAGAGGGTCAGCGAAGAAGGAGAAGCCCCTTGACCAGGGGGTTTGACACTATGACTGTGGCAATGGGCTCTGGTGGGTCAGGTGTGAGGACGGCTCAGGACAGAACAGGGTCCAGATCTGCTGTTCACGGGGTCTCTGTGAGTCAGACTCCACTCGACGGCACCTAACATCACCAACAAAATGAACTCTTAGCTCGTCATATTAGGAAGGCCAAACAGCAAGAACAGGAAAGAAGCCAGGAAAGGACAAGCCCCAAAGTAGGGAGACAGAAATAGGGCGTGGAAAGGGACTCCCCAGCTCTGAGGAGAGGCAACTGAGAAACGGAGATACACGTGAAAGGCCTTATTTATACAAAAACATCTCGGACAGAAGTGAAGTGAAGGAACAAAACCTTCACAAGCAGCCGTGACTCCAAGTAGAGGAGCGTCCACTGGAAGGCAGGAGACATCAGGTCTGACCGGCGGCGTGAGGTCTTGTGAGACGTGGGGAGCTCACAGGCTTCTCAGAGGCCACTGCCCTGGCCAATGGTCAGAACGCCATCGTGTTTGCTCGTTTAAATGATTGGATATATTGGGGAGAGGGAGAGAGGGGGAGGGAGATAGCAGACAATTCTATATGGTGCTACAGAAGATATTTGATACAAGGTAAAATTCACTTTAAAAAACGAAACAATCAAATCAAGCCCTGAAAATCAGACTGAATTGGGAGTTGAATTTTAAAAATCTGGTAAACTTAGAAAAAAAAAAAGCAGCAGAATGCTTTGCCAGAAACCCCTAGTCCTACAAAACCAAAGACTCAACCCCTGGACAAGGCGGCGAACCGGCTGTCTATTCTTACCCCCCTGTTCATTCCATCTACACCCACTGAACAAAGCACCTGGGAGAAAAAGGAGCCTCTGAAAGCCAGAGAGGGCAGCTCCACTTTCAAATGAAGTGGTTACATAATCTATCCTGGAAAACCCAAGAGAATCAAACAAACAAAAGCACAAGCCACAAGAGACCACGTGGGAGGTAGGCCCAAATGTATTTACTGAAAGCTTGCTGAAAATCTTCTCCGGCCTCCTTTCCCTTCCTCTCCTCCTCCTGCCCCTCCTCTTCCTCCTCCTTCTCCCCTTTTCCTCTCTTACTGATGCCACAGAACCACAAACATACTACCTGTTTTTAAAAACAGTGCAGCCCAAGTGCCCATCAACAGAGGAATGGAGGAATTAGCTGGTAAATTCACAGGATGGAGTATAAGACGCAGCATTAAGAAACCATCACCTTGTTGACCATTACACCACATAGATGAGTGTGGAGAACACCATGCTGAGCGGAATAACTCGGGAACCGGAGGACAACAGCGTATAAGGCCGCTGTTACAACAACAGGATGGTTACAGGGAGCAGGGAACAGAGAGCAGGAAAAGAACCGATATCTAATTCCTACACTGGAACAGGCGAAGTGAAGGGCCACCTGGCGTGACTAGAAGATCAGATGTTAAATGCATGACCATCAAAATCTATAACAGGACATACACAATGGATTCATGGGAGGGAGAAGTGGAAAAAAAGAATAAATAGAAGAACGGTAAAGAGAACAGTAATGCGTAATATGACCTTGCTTAGACACTGTATTAACTGAACAAGTAATGGTAATTCTTGCCTATGAGTATCTGAAAAAAAAAATTGAGACTTGTAAATTTAAGCTCAAATAAAAGAGATTAAAATGGAAGTTAAAAAAATAAAAACGGCACAAAGCCAATGGCAGATAATTAGTGTCCTATGTGGCATTCCTAAGGAAACTTGGTGTTTTCCCACGGGTGACACTTTTCTTAAAAAAAAAAAATGTGGGTTAAATTCTCACAGTCTTCTTCAACTCTAGGTGCTTCTGGTTTGATTTTTATTTTCTAACTATTAGAAGGTCAAGGTTACAGCCTTCAATTTGAATTAAAGCTCAACATCAAAAAACAAAGATTCTCACCAGAGCTCCAATAGACAGCATCATGAGAAACAGTGAAGAGACCAAGATTGTTAACAGCTACAGCTTACCCACCACAATCAGAACTCTTGGTACCAGCAGCCAGAAAATCAAAAGATGAATGTTGTTGTTGTTGTTGTTATGTGCCGTCGAGTCGCTTGCAACTCATAGCGACCCTATGTACAACAGCCCTAAACTCCGCTCTGTCCTGTGCCAATCGCACTGTCTCTGACACTCCCATCCCAATTATCCCAGTCACTGAATCAATCCACCTCATAGAGGGCCTTCCTCTCCTGCACCGTCCCTTCACCTTCCCAAGCATGATGTCCTTCTCCAAGGACCGGTCTCTCCTCACAACATGTCCAAAGTATGTTAGATGGAGCCTCAGAATCCTTGCCTCCAAGGAGCCACCCGGTTTAACCCTCTCCAGGACGAATCTGTTTATTTTCCTAGCAGTCCATGGTATTCTCAATACTCTTTTCCAGCACCACAGCTCAAAGGCATCAATTCTCCTTCTATCCTCCTTGGTCATTGTCCAACTCTCTGATGCACAAGTGATTGCGAAGACCATGGCCTGTATCAGACACACCTTAGTCTCCAAAGAGACACCATTGCTCTTCAGTACTTTGGAGAGGTCCCTAACAGCAGACTTTCCCATGGCAATGCGCCTTGTAATTTCCTGGCTGCTGGTTCCAAGACTGTTGACTATGGAGCCAAGCAAACTAAAGCTGTGTACAATCTCAATCTCTTCACCATCCATCCTGATGCTGCCAATTGGTCCAATGGTGAGAATCTTTGTCTTCTTGACATTGAGCCTCAGTCCATACTGAAGGGTGCAGTCCTTGACCCTCTGCAGCAGGCGCTTCAGGTCCTCCTCAGTTTCAGCAAGCAGGGTTGTGTCATCCGCATAACGCAGATTGTTGATAAATCGGCCACCAATCTTGACCCCACATTTCTCCTCATAGAGCCCAGCCTCCCGGATAATCTGTTCTATTTCTCTTAATTCCCCCAAATCACATGAACTCTGTGCTGCAGCTGTTACTACTCCTTGAATGGCAAGTGACAGTCTCATTTGAAAACAAGTTCTTTGTATACATAAGCTCCTACCATCAGCACCCAGTGGGCAGCGGACGCCTAGCCCAAGGCCTCATCTCTGCCCTGCAACAGGACAGAAAACTCAGCTGAGTACATGAGGAGCTGCACTCGGGGTTCAAACCAAGTTCAGTGAAGTGTTGCCACAGAACGACCTTGAGTTGTGGAATTGTTGTGCTCATGTTCTCTGCCCCTGGGCCAGCTCCACAAGTCCGTCTCCTCTCCTTCAGAGAATCCACTCAGAGCTCCAACAAAGCCACTGCTCAGGCCACGCTGCAGGGACACAGCCAACCGAAGCCTCTCTGAGTGTGGCCACCAGTGCCAAGTACAGCCACCAATGATGTGTGCAGCCACCAATGCCGAGCAAAGCCACCAACACTGAGTGTGGCCACCAGCACCAAGTACAACCACGAATGCTGTGTGCAGCCACCAATGCTGAGCGAAGCCACCAAAACCGAGTACGGCCACCAATACCCAGTGCGGCAGCCAATGTCAAGTATGGCCACCAGCACTGAGTGTGGCCACCACACCAAGTACAACCACCAATGCTGTGTGCAGCCACCAACACTGAGAGACGCCATCAATGCTGAGCACGGCCACCAACACACAGTGCGGCCACCAATGCCAAGCATGGCCACCAGCGCTGAGTGTGACTCCGATCCTGAGCATGGCTGACAAAGTCTAGCATAGCCACCAACACCGGGTGAGGCCACCAACACCGAGTGAGGCCACCAATACCAAGCATGGCCACCAACACCAGGTATGGACACCAACGCTGAATGTGGCCACCAACACCAATGATGGCCACCAATGCCGAGTGAGGCCACCAATACCACATGTGGCCACAATGATGGCCACCACTCAGACCACCAATGCAAAGCCAGGCCACCAACTCCAAGTGTGGCCATCAGCACCGAGGGAGGCCACCAATGCCGAGTGTGGTCACCAGCACTGAACACGGTCTCCATGGTCCCGGAGAACTGGATGAGGCAGTCCAGCTGCATGAGTCCCCCCCAGGTGCTGGCCCTTCAGTGCCTTTGGTGTTGGTAAGAACAGTGATGAGAGCTCCACACGCTCTTGAGCCGAACCTCTCACCGCCGACTCGATGCCGACTCCTGGCGACCCCGCCTGGACGCCTTCTGCAGTACAGAAGAGGAGTGTCCTCCCTAGGATGCAGAGGCCCAGGCCTGTCTTGCCAGCCTCTGCGAGAGGGGTTGAACTGCAAACCTCCAGTCTAGGAGTTGAGCAGAGGCTCTGTGCACCACCCAGGGAGGGACTGATGAATCTCTCCATCAGAAATGGGTGCGTACAAGAGAGCAGCGCCTGAGACGCTGACGCATAACCACACAGAAGTGCACAGGCCAGAGGAAGTGGACGTCAGTGCCACTCAGTAAAGCAGCCAGCACTGCACCCGTCTATAATACGTCACCTTGTTGGACTTGAGCCATTCCTTGAGATGAACACAGAGCACAGGGTTCAAAGACAAAATAAAAAAGAGGCCAGGCAGAGCTCACAGGAGACCCTTTTCCATTTTTCAAAGAATAAAAATCGTCCTTTCTCTGATTCCCTTTATCAAACTCCAAGGGACAATTCATGGTCTTTATAGGGCTTTTACTTCCTTCAATTGGCCCCAAAGCAACCTCACAAATGCGAGCCAACGTACAAAGTGCCAGCTCGCTGTAACGCCTGGATCGTTAATGGTCAGCGTGAAGTCTGCAGGGCTCAAGCGTTCTTGTGCGTTGGCTCTGGAAGTAATACGGCGAGCCGGATGGAGGTCTAAAGTAATCGGATACTCTGCACTCTGTGCACACGTGTGTGCAATGCTGTTGTTTTCTTCATGAATTATGTCCCTGATGCCACCCCATTACTCACTAGTCATTAGTGTAGAATGCATCAAATCAGCTCTGCAAATGGTCTCTACAGTCAGGCAAGAAACACTCAAGATCATTTCAAAGAGCAGCTCAGGAAGAAAAAACAATGCAGTATAACAAAACATCTAAAAAACTACAGAGTTAAAAACAAAAAGAGAAGAACATGGTGGTCTCAAACTTAAAGTTAAATAAAAGATTAAAGCCTTCAGTTGCAAAACTACAAAACTCTATCAGGAAAATATTAAACGCTGCAGAGAATATTAAGAGGAGATGAAAGAAATACACAGAATCACCATACTGAAAAGATGAGGACAGACTTGGCTTTTCAGGAGCGAGTCTATGGGGGGAAAACTAGTGGCTGGAAGGGAGAAACCTTCACTGAAGACACCGATGTGGACAGAGAACCATGGTACAATCATGCAATTGAACACTACACGGCATAGAAAATCATGAACTTGTCAACCACTACACAGTGGGGGTGAGTATGGCAGGCATTGTACTGAGTCAAAAAGATCAGTCACAAAAGGATAAGGACTGCATAAGCCCACTGTTGCAACAGCAGTGTCAGGGTGGGCCGAGGTAAGAGCAGAAAAAGACTGGGTAGATAAGGAACACTGCACTGGGGTGTGTGACAGGAAGAACATGTTGGAAGGAACGGATCAGCATTACACAAAGAATGGGGAAGGGGGAGGGAGGGAAACGTGGTGAATGAGAGCCGATCTCTTTTTGAAGCTTCATGAAAATACAGAGAAGAGAAGAGAAGAGAAGAGAAGAGAAGAGAAGAGAAGAGAAGAGAAGAGAAGAGAAGAGAAGAGAAGAGAAGAGAAGAGAAGAGAAGAG